GAACTCAAATTCGTACGGAATGTATATGAAACATGCCTTGCACTTGGAATAATTATTGTTGTTATAATTAATTTTTCAATAAGAAATACAAATTCATAATTTATTTCTCTGAAGATAAGCTAGCTAGCCAAATGTAGATGGGATTCACAGATGTTTCAACTGCTCACCATTCTGATTCATATGATTGGAAGGAAATATCAAAAAAATAAAATGATAAGAGATATATAATATTATAAATTGAAAACTCTTTCAATTCTTGGAACAGGTACAGAAATTTAACATGTTTTTGGGCTAAATTTAAGTGGTTTCAAGAGATTAGGTTTACTTTATTAACAATAGTTGGTTTATATACTTATATATAATTTCTAATAGTACTAATTTTTTAATATAAGATAAGGTGTTACAAAAAAAATTATCTTCGTTATATAACTCATCACTAAATTAAAATAAATAAATAAATAAAACAAGAAGAGGGGGAGACTGCATGCTATGAAGGGCATGTGACCACATGTTCTCAAGAACTTATTGGAAAATCTGCAGGTGAATATAAATTAATTTGTGGTTGGTTACCTAGTTTATATAAATTAAACATTTAAACTCTCATCATTAATCAAATGATTAGTGTAGAGGATTCTAATTATAATTATCTTAGGATGATTTGATTAGAATTTGGAGTGCCATGTAGAGGGGATCCACTTTCATCATGTGAAAGCACGCTGCTAACATCAAAGCGAAAGGAAAATGCCTAGTAATCAAAGGAATAATACATTTTTAGAGTATGTTTTTTTCGAATTTGTATAAGTCTTTTTTTTTTTTTGGTACAATTTTTATAAATCTTGAAGTGAGAGATTTTTTTTATTTTTTTTATAACGGAATTAAGGATAAAAGGAACATATTGTCGAAAAAAAGAAAAGAAAAAGAGAGCAAGAAAAAGGAACATGAAATTTGAATATACTGTTAAAATGAACATATAATATGCGATCAAGAAAGGAACATTGAAAAATTGAACATCGGACTCCTCTGTTTTCTACTAAAAAATATCTATTAAGGAAATTTGATGACATTTTTCCTAAGAATTAAATGGATATAAATCTGTTGAGATTCGATTTGAATAATGTGAAAAATGTAGATATACATTCAAATCCTGATCATCATTTAAATATAAAAAATTTTAACAAGTCATAGTTACCATGTTTAGAGTATGTTTTATTTTAAAAAAATGGATGAAAGAGAAAGAAAAAGTTGTATCCAATCAAATGTTGACATTGGGCTAAAGTTTTAATTTGATTCGATAAGAGATTTGTCTTCACCTCCCCTTTTTCTATATGGTTTTCCTCAAAACAACCACACCCTTAGAAGTTGGAAGGGGAGGAGATTATATATTCTTTTCAATTTGTTTTCCTTAAATTTTAAGTTGACTATTATTTTGAGATAGTAGGAGCAATTATATGTTGTTAATATTAATATATGTACAACATTTATTGTGCTCCTTAATTACATGCGTAAGCTATATAGTTCGTGCTACTTTTGAAATTAGTTGAACCCCTCTCCACATTATTGTCTAAATCCTCATTAATGAATCAATAAACTAAAACATGCCTTCTTGTCTCCTTTTTCATGCCTTGAGTGGCCAACAAGTACAAATGAGTTCAAATCCATTGCCAAATGGTGCTGCCAACTAGACCAATGCCATGCACACAAAACCCCTCTTTATATGTCTCTCTGTGTCCCCTCCATTAGTGTCATATGAAGCTTAGAGTAGCCTTATCACCATCCCAATATCCTATTATTATAGTAATTAATTGGTCCTTTGCTCATTCTCATTGTTATGAGCTAGATTAAGGACAGTTTGATTTTCTTATAGCCCGCCATATAGACCCGCCATTTTTTCTCAATGCAAAGTAGATCATGTTGAAAGGAGATAAGTAAAATAGTTTTGTTGATGAATTTCTAATTACTCTCAAGTAATTTGAACTTTATCGGTTTTTTATTAGAAGGAAAATGAATGGTACGTAAATACTCAATACAACACATTTTTTTGACACTCATCCCAATTCAACTATTAAAATATAATACAAGTACAACTGATTCAATTGATTTTTACATCTTGCATGCATAATTGTATTTTTAAGTTTGTCTATCTTTAATTTTATATTAAAAAAATAATTTTTTAATGAATGTACTATACAGCATATTAAACTGAAATAGTTGCCAATTAGTATTCTTGATCAAAATGGAAGTATGAATTTAGCATGTGCAAGTTATTTTAACCTGCTTTTTTTACTACAATTTGGTGTTTAGCAATCTATTTAATCAATACCTTTGCTAATTTGATGATGGTATTTTATAATCCGATGCAGTTTCTAAATTGTTAAATACATTTTCATCCTCTACTAGATAGAAAAAGCCTCACATTTACGGAGTATCCCCTAATTCAATGACTACCCAAAACATTTCAATTAAGATTTGTTTATACTAAAATTTCTGTTAAGATTAATGCATAAAAAGGGTAGAAATAGATGTTAGAAGGGGTGGGGCGGCAGGGGGTGTATCAAGTTGGGATGTTATTATTAAAGGCTGGAAGTGGGGCCTAAGCTGCACAATTGAGCAAAGCTAGCTAGGTCGACACGTTGGTGCCTATTTGTGACAGAAGAAAGTGATTAATGATTATATATAAGATTACTTAATGATAATAAAATACCGTGCTTCTGGACAAACAGTGGCCTGCTAAGCTTAAACAAATTCCAAATGGGAGAGAAACCCCTCTCTCCTCTCTACTTGTGCAATTCCCTTAGTCCATGTTCCTATTCCAGTGTCACTATCTTTTGTTTCATTCATTTCTGGAATATATGCCTCCCTTTACTGTCTGATTATCTGTACTTCATGACTAGTTAAGACATTATCCCACCATATTGTGTCTAAACTTTACAATTCATTTGTCCTTAATCTGCATTATTAGCACAGAATCATGGGCCTTGTGCTGTTGCAAAAACAGATGTATATCCTATTTCAGAAAAATTAAGGACCACAATGTTTTTTTTTGCTTAGAGATGAATATACATTCATACTTGCTCCAATATATAAATTCAAATTTGAAACTTTTAAGTTTTAAGCACCTCAGTTGACCTCTTTAATTATCAATGCACCAAAACCTCATGCCTAATTAGAACCTCTAAGTCTACTAATTAGCTTTGCATTTGGCTAATTATATATGATACCTAGTTCAGGGGATATATGGTAGGTTAGGGAGCAGGGTCCACTATTAAGGCAAACCCCTAGAGATTGCAATCAGATATCTAGCTATGGAGGGCAACACTAATAGCAGTAGCCATAGTGATAGCTAGCCCATCTATTAAAATCTTCATAAACTTACATTAGATGCCCAAGAATCTCGTTTTTTACTACTTGCTGATCCAATGATTAAGATATGTGTGTCATTAGCAGAAAACCTTAAATCTCTGAATTAACCTCTGTTTGTTGCCTTACTTGTATATTTTAAGTAATGAAAGGGTTCAGGCACATGTGTCATGATTTTCTTCACATGTGCGGTGCAGTTAGACTAATTCAGTGAAACTGCTTGGTTTGATTGGTTCCTTATTGTTATCAAATGAATGTCCTTTTATCTGCCTCAATTCTCTCCCAAATCCCTATATATGCTTCCAAGTTACAAATGATGTCAGGAGTTGCTGTAAAATTATTGCTCAATCTCAGAGAGATATATTCAGAAAAGAAGTTGCAAGTAAATAAGTATGATTTCTATGCTGGGTGTTAGTAAAGGGATAGGAGGGGATTATTATTATTATTATTATTATTTTCTATACATCAAAGGATTAATTATTTAGTATAGTAAATATTTAAATCTTTAATCTTAATCTTAAATAAAGTTTTTAAATTACTGATTGTGAACAAGTTTTTGTTATTAAAAAAAAAAGGACATATATTTAGGAGAGTACCAGTAGTGCTCGAAACAAGATAGGCTGATAAAAAAAAAAAAAAAAATTAACTGTGCAAGTTACCAGCCAACAGGTATGGCACTTACAAGCATCTTCCTCCAACTGGTGGCCTAGAACCTGCCTATCTCCAATTAAATTGTCAAACACGCCAAGGGTTGCTGCTCCAGTGATCAAAAGAAGGCTCCGAACACATTTGTTTCCCCAAGGAAAAGAGAATGTTTAGTTCTTATTCGGAATTACATATCCAAGCTGCAGCAGAATGTATTGTCAAGTTAAATGATACAATGTTTAACTTTTATGCCTGATTAATTGCATCTAACCCACTTGCCAGCTCTACCTTTATATAAACTGACAAGTTGTTTATGGCTAAAAGAGAATTACACAATATAAGATCAACAAGAGTTTGGTGAATTAATACTAATTAAAAACTTTAGTTTGAAATCAAAATTAAGCATTCAAATTAACTCTACCGTTAGAACCTAACTTCTCTCCAATTTACCAAAAGAAAAAGAAACCATATGGGTATTAACTTTGAAATTAGACAAAGAAACAAACTTAACAATTCAAGAGAAATCTAATTAACACTTCATAACCTATTTATGCACATTTTTCTTATATTTGCAAGATTACACATGATCAATTGGGACTTAAAAAAGGATTCAAATATGAAACTTCTCGAGAGACGAGGAAGCCTATGATTCAACGATATATTCAATCTTCTTTAAGATCTCATATATAGTACATATCTAGAAGAAAACCAGAAAAATTAAAGAGTTTCAAATCGATGCAATCATCAAGCAAAGAGAGAGGGGTTTGGTAATGTTAGCTCTGTTTTGTCGTGTAAGAATATGTTAAATGGAATATATATTAGAGCGTTTAAAAATTTCAGATGAAGAATGGTTGAGGAAGAGATAGATTTTTTATATAAAAGCAGAAAAAATAATGAAATATGCAGCCCATTTAGGGGACCAACTGTCATTAAGTATTGATTATTTTATGGTGCACCTCCCTCCCCCTCTTGTGTTTATAAGCCCTTTGGAGTGCGATAATTCATTGATCAAACCCAAGAGCAAAACCCAGAAAGACAGTAAAGAAAAAACCACTAACCCAAAAGCATCAAAATGACTACTGGTTCTGGTTCTCCTTGTGGTGCCTGCAAATTCTTGAGGAGAAAATGTGTGAAGGGTTGTGTTTTTGCCCCTTATTTCTGTCATGAACAGGGAGCAACCCATTTTGCAGCCATCCATAAGGTTTTTGGCGCAAGCAATGTGTCCAAGCTGCTTGCCCATCTTCCGGTCAATGACCGCTGCGAGGCTGCCGTTACAATTGCCTATGAGGCTCAGGCTAGGCTTCAAGATCCCATTTATGGCTGTGTTTCTCATATCTTTGCTCTCCAACAACAGGTTAATATTTTGTTCTAGAAATCATTTTCCTTGAATTTGGCTATCTGTAATATACCAGAATTAAAAGTTTGAAGTTAATTACTGGATACCAGCTCGTCTAAATTCCAGTTAGTTATAACCGTTTTCCTCGATTGATTGAGCACTGTATGAACCCTAATTTGGGTTTTTTTATTGATATGAACCTAATTGACCTTTTTGTGACTCTGCAGGTTGTGAATTTACAAGCACAACTAGCCTGTCTCAAGGAACAAGCAGCTCAGAGCATTATGAGCGGTACCTCAGCCGCTGCAAACACTAATGAAAGATACTATGGCACCGGAAAGGCTCCTTCCCATCATCATCCTCAAGATCATCTTCAAAGCGTGTTTCATCAAATGGATAATTCAAGCGTGTTTAACCCCAACTTCTCCCATCATTCCTCCGAAGTTTCTTTCTCCGGTTTCATGGATCCAAACTCCTTGGGGAATTATGAGAATTCATCATCAGTTTCGGGAGATGATGCCTCTTTCTCAACATTTGGAGAGATGTCTTCTCTTGACAACATGCACAGGCAATGGAGTTTCCATGATTCCGAAGATCTTCAATCAGTGGCATTCGGGTACAATACTCAGCATTCATGAAGAGATTATCGCATTTACAATTGATGAAGACGACAATCTTGTCAAATTTTGATGAATTCATGCATGCTGCACACTTTGGAGTAGTTAACATGCACTTTTGTTGGCATAAATAAATAAATAAATAAGTTTTAGTAACCCTAGAAATTAATGTCTATACAATTTGGAAACCCTAAATCCACCCCTATTATTTGTTTTCTTTATTTACTCTAGTGTAACCTAAGATTGTCATTGTAGAATAATACTTGTGTATTGATTTTTCCAGATGAAACTGGAGAAATTTCTGGTTTTATCAAATTTTACCTGGTTTCTATAGACCTATTAAGGATCTAATTAAATTCTTAGACCTAATTTATATATTTAAAGATTTGATCTATATATAAATTAAACATTGTATCATTGTTTTTTGATAATTGCTTATACTCTGTTTGTTTGCAAGAAAAAGGTTAGGTGTGCACATGTTTGCGTAGTTTTACATCTTTATATGTATAGTTAGTTGAAGATAAGCATGCAACTTGCTTGATTACCAGACACTGTCAGTTCATTAGAGCGGAACTTTTGGGGACTAATTCAAGAGTCCATTAATTAGTTTCCTTTTCTATTTATATATATCCTAGAATGTCTCTATATCTATTAAAACTTATTTTATATATGGAAATGAATTCTTTACATGATTGTTAAATCTTAGTTATAATGACATTACATGTGACATGATTGTAATTTTTTTTAGTTTATTTTTTTACTTAACAAGATGATTTAATGTGACTGTTGTAAGGATTTTATTATATCAACGGACATTAATGTCAATAAATTGATTTCTATATTAAAAAGCCAATGATCCAATAGGCACTTGGTGTAGTGATAGAAGTTGAGGTCTCACAACTTCAGGTTTACGTGGTTAGGTTTTTCTTGATTTTCTGTGAAACTAAAAATAGAAAAAAAAACATTAAAAAGAAGATATATCTGTTTTGCAGCATGAATTTGCAGCCTAATTAACATAACAAAGGACCTTGTTTTGATTAAAATAGATTATTCTGATCCCAAGAAAATGTGATACTTGGTTCTCTAGATTAATTTGTTAGATTTTATACAAGGAAAAACCTAATAACTTCTTTCTTCATATATCTACACAGATTATGGTTTCAATCTTTCTTTTTTTTTTCTTTTTTTTTTCCCATTAACTTTTTGCTTCCCCCAAATGTTGAATTTCGATGTAATTTCCAGAAGTTACTGAACGAAATATTATTAATTAGGATCGGGCATCCTTATCAATTTTTTATTTCCACAAGTTATCGGTGGAGAAAACAGATTTTTTTATATGTATATAGCAAAATTAAAGGGTAAATTAAAATCAATTAACATTTCATTAATTTTTTATTTCCGCAAGGTATCGGTGGAGAGAATAGATTTCCTTTTTTTTTTTTTTTATGATAGGAAGAAAAGAGAATATATATGTATAGCAAAATTAAAGGGTAAATTAAAATCTATTAACATTTCATTAATTTGTACCTGATATGTAATGCAGGGTGCCATATATGGTACATTTTTGGTTGTGTCAAATCATTTGTGGAGAGGGAACTTCCAGTCAAATGAGCTAGCTGTAAAGCCTAAGCTTAAAGGCTTAAAGCTTCATTATTGCATTTGGGCAAAACTAATGAGAATTTTTTTTTTTGGGGCAAAAATTAATGAGAATTTACTCCATGCAATTACTCTTGTAAGATAAAATAAGTGTATGCGTGTGCAATGAGAGTTATTTTTTATTTTTTTATTCTTTTCAAAACGGAAAACAGAAACAAAATCAGTTTGTTGGGTTAATCGGTTCATTAACCAAACTTAAGAATTTAGGTTCAAGTAAATTAAGAGTTTTACTCGCACCGATTACTTTAAAAAAAATTTTCCCTTCCTCCAAAATTTTTTATGTTCCAAAAAAAAAAAAAAAAGAAGAAAACAGAAATAAAATTTTTAATTATTAGAGACTTTTCTCTTGTTGAGCTCGTATCATTTTAGACAATAAATTCAATTTTTATATTTAAATAGAAAACATATTGAAACTTGCTACAACATTTCTTTGATCCAACGGCTTAAAGACCCCTTTTAGAAAAAAACCAATAAATTTATATACATATATATAATGTAAGTGAAATAAAATAATATTATTATCACTTTTAAAAAAATTATATGTATTTGAGAGAAAGTGCTCTGTTAAATGTTTCATTTAATTAAGAGTTAAATATATAAAAATATAAGTTTGTATAAAATAATATTAATTGTAATAATTTAACACCAAAGTGAGGTTCTTCATTGTTCTCCATTATATATACATGCTCCAATTGTTATTATTATTTTAATCAATTAAATGCTCCAATTAGTTGATTGTAAAACTTTTTTATGAAATAAGATTGTGATTGAATTTTTTTCCCAAAACATATATAACTGATAGCCGATCATAAAATTAAAAACTGATACTAACTTTATTTTGCATGCTGTTTTTGGATTTTGGAGTCCCATAAGTCAAAGATGAATGACTATCATTCAATCTATTATTTTGATTCAGAAGAACTGAACAACAAATTTGAGTAAAAACCTAAAGAAAGTACATACATCAATAATAGAAGGCATTCTAATAATACATGTCATCGTCCTCTCTTAATGTCTGATCAAATTCAAGGGGCTTGTAAGTAAAAGTGCTTTACAAAAGTTATCAATTTTTTTTTTCCAAAGATCTTAAAAAAAAAAAAACATTTTCCAAAATAAATTATAAATAAGGATCTTAATCAGGCCCAAGAAATATAGTGGTAACCTGAGGGAGGCCCATTTCCATATATTTGCGCCAACCAGTGGTCCACTAAATGATGGTTTTGTTCCTTTTGGGTCAAAATTTTGTTTTAAAAATTTTTATGTGTAGGGATGGGGGACCGAGTTATGTCGTCTTTCATCTAGTATAATATATTGAAAAATTATTTTACAATTTTATATCAAATTATAAAATATAAAAATTTAAATAAAAAATGATCTATTAATATTAAGATCCTTCCTCAATGTGATTTTTTTTTTTTTTGAACATGAAAAATTATAAGGGGATGAAAAATTTAGAATTTTTTTAAATAGTTAATAAAAATTAAATTATCAAACAACTAAATCTAAATATTAAAATTTGAGAACGAATTACTGGATGCAAAAGTTTCAGTTCATTATTTTCTTAGTTTGAATTAACCAATTACAAAATAGTGAATTCATATTATATTTATTAAAAAAAAGCTAATTAAAAAATAAAATTTAAAACTGGGTTTTACCAAAAAAAAAAAGAAAAAGAAAAAGAAGATTCTACAATGGAGCATCACTAGAAGACAAAAGAGGGGCATATGAAGACAAAAAGATGGTCACTATCCATCCGATTCATCAAAGTGACCCGACAATTTGACGGCTGAGGAGTGAGGAGTACACGTGTGACAATATTCAACAGTCAACATTTGTTTGGTCCAACCATTTTGTTTTTTTCCCTCTTTTGTTTTCTTTACCAATTTTTTTATGTAATTAATTCCTAATCAGACATTAATTTGTATATATTTGCAATCAATTATTCGTCATCAACATTGTCGTCTCATAAAAAATTAAATTTTAAAATATATATAATTGGTGAAGGGGAAAATATATATATTCATAGAGTAAGTTCAAGGCAAAAATTAATTCCCTTGTTGGTATTTAGATCTTTGTTTAATGTAATACATATCTAGTCAAGTATAAGTTATGGTAGAAACTCAATAGATTCGCGAGTAATTACCACCTGTGTTCTTTCTTATCAAACAAAAATTTGTTAAAAAAAATAGAGAATAAACTCTTTTCACAAATCCACCAACCATAACTTCATATAATTAATTTAGTGGAGAGATTAATAACTTAATTAGAATTGTTCTAACTTGATGATTAATTAATTGCAAAAAAGCTTTTTTAATTTGAAGATAAATTAAAATAGTGACATCGATCTACAAGTTAAAATTAAAATGTTACTTTGTTATGCATACGCATACAAAAGCAAATCAAAATCAATAAAGAAATCCAATGCCCTAATTATCACCTTGATGCCATGAACTTGACCTTTTCCTCTTTTCAATTTTCATTAGTAAAGGATGGGCCTCCTACTTTTTTCTTTTTTTTTCTTTTGAACTTTTTTGCTATTGTGTACGTATATTTTAGCTGTTTTTTCTAAAGTTATAACCTCTTTCTTTACTTTACTTTCCTTCTTTTGCAGTTTCCATCTCACTTTATACATGGTATGATGTATGCTCCTTTTCCTCCAAATTAAATATTAAACAATTAACTAGACCTATAATGTAATGAAAAGGCTAATACTTTTGTAAGTTTAATTATATATAAATTTAAGTTATACTATTCAAATTTCTGTAATCTGTAGTGTATATTTTAGATAAAAATTCAAGTCATTAAACAACTCACATATGTGAATAAGTCTCATTGAGCCATTTGATGAGTAGTTAATTAATGGGTTTGGAATAATTACTTTTCTAAGTACAATTAATGGAGTCCAACATTCTGGAAAGATTAATTAATTTTGATCTTTTTTTTTTTTTTTTTTGTCTAATAGTACTGCCCAAGACAAAGGCATGGAAGTGACTGGTGCCACGCTTGACCCAATTTATTAATTATTTTAATACAAGTAATTGTACAATGGGCTCGAGTGAAGAAGTAGAAGATGATAATTTTTTGATAATTAATGTAATGATCGGCTTGACTGAGTTTGTTTATAGTCTTTGAAAAGCATTTTTTCTGCTTGTCTTTACGTTTCAACTTTGGTCCATCCATAAACCACAAGCATAAATAAGCATTCTTCATGCCATTTTGCTAACTATATATTATTATCACCTCATCTTGCAATATCAAAACTCTATTTACTTCAACATAATTTAGCACCAAACAAAGAGCTTCAGGCTCTCTACGGGGGGAAACTTTTTTCTATTATAACTTCTTTTTTTTTTCTTTTATGAATCAAAATTATATATTATGAAAAATATATTTTTAGTTTGAAGTGCACAAAAAAGTGCAATCATGACTTGTGAAACTATTGATATGGAGTGCGATTAAAATTATTGTAAAATATTATGATTATGATTAAAACTGTGATAATATTAAATTGTATTATATTGTAATTAATTATAACTGAAAGTTATTTTGTTATTTAATTATTTATTTTTTAAAAATATTACAAATAAAATATGATAAAATTTATTAATTATTAATTAAAATTTAAAAAATATTATATGATGTATAATTATTAAAATAGATAATACTTACTACTTATTAATAATTTAAGTTTTTTTGGGTTTCTTATGAAGGGTGATTTTTTTGGTTTTGCAAGAGACTAACTTATAATTAGAGAATGGGTTTTTTAAATTTTTTATGAAATTCTTAAATAAACAATAGGTTAAGTTTAAATAAAATATTATAAATTATAATATAATTGAATTAAATGAAGTTGAATTTTAATGAGTAATTTTATAATTATATAAAATATTATGTATTGTCTGTAAAACCACAACTAAAAAGTTTCAAAATGAAGTTTTTGGTTTTATATATAAAATTATTATAAATTTACTGTGACTTTCTATAGTTTTTAAAAAAGTAATTTGAAAAAAATATCAAATATATAGATCTAAAAATATTGTACTATCACAAGAAAAAATTTGCAAGCATAATTTCAAGTGCACCCATACTCTTAGTGAATTTTTTTCTTATGTTGATTTATTAAAGATACATGAGTATGTTTTGCAGCTAGAAATGAAAATAACCAGACTCATATTATACAAATTTGCATTTGTACTTTTGTTTTTTATTTCTTTTATTTTTGGTAACTAATACTATATATAGTAATTTAAGTAATAAAACAAAAAAAATTATTTTTAAATTACTATATATAGTAACATTTTTTTTAACATGTATCTTAAAATATAAGTTAAAAATATATATTAATTGTACTTTTTGCAATTAAGTTGTAATGAAAAAAAAATTAACTTTAATTTTATTGACCTTTTAATTAAAAGCATTCATATCACATTAATAATAAAAATAAAGTTAGTTTTGTCATTTTTATAAAAATTTATTGAAAAAATAATTAATGTATTCTTAAACTATGCAGTCACATACATGATTTCTTTTCTCTCTCTCTCTCAAAAATGTGGCTTTCGCTTCTTCTTCTTTTTTGGCCACAATAATGGTTATTGCATTAAATGAGGAGAATTTTGAGAAAAAGAATGATTAATCTCCTGTTGCATAACTAAACATGTTCAATAAATCGAAAGTTAGAAACCTCACCAATCGAAATAGAATGCTAGTAAAAAAGAAAGACACTTAATTATTTTGAAATTAAGCAAAAATAAATAAATAAAAAGCTATCGTAATTTTTGTTAATTAATTAATTATAACATTAATTAATTAATTAAGTACAATAATACATACACCCTATAAAATTACACAGTTCGTTAAACACTAGCGGAAATCGTCAATTTATAACGAAAATTGTCAGTTTATAATGGAAACTGTCAGTTTTAACGGTATAAATAATATAAATTGTCAATTTTAAGGGCACACGTAATGGAAACTGTCAGTTTTAATTGCACAAATAACAAAAATTATTAATGTGGAATGAAATATATAACTTTACAGAGTGTATGTATCATTTCTCATTAATTAATTATACTCATCATGTTTCACAACAACATCATCTTCTCAGTTATGTTCATATTTCCAAGTAATTAAGCTTGTTGAGATTGAATACTTTGGATTTGGAGAACCAATTAGACATGGTACATAGCCTAATTAATTGGGTTTGATAAAGTGGGGAAGCTTCACTCATCTCATTATGTATTCAATCTAGCAGACACCTTGTCTATAAATATGAAAGCAAAGGTTTGTTTAATAATTAGAAAGACTATTTATATGTTAGGTAAACCTAATTAATTAAGACATAAAACTAGACAAGTGGGTCCAAAGTATATTTCCCCTAGGTTAAGCTTGCCTCTAATCACCATCATTACACTCACAATCCCCTTATCTTCTCAGATCCCCATCAGTGACATATCATCAAAATATATAGCCAAATTTGTCATAGCTAGTGCCCCCAAAGCCTCGATTAATTACCTTCATTTGTATCAAAGCCATGTTTTTCTTTCTACTTTTATATATATATATATATATACTTCATATTTCTATATATACATGAGTTTAGACATTAGTTTTATTTGTTGGAGAACAGACCAAATAATCAACGACAATAGTCAGGGGAAATTAATCAACTTTGGTTAATTCAAAAGATTAACCTTGATAAGTAATTATCAAACTATTAATACTATATGTATAGAAGGGAACTGATTTAGAGGCCAAATATGAGACCATAAAATCTAAACCTAACTTAATCATGTGAGGTCTTCACCCAAAGCAATGGTGCTGATATTTTGAACTCCTCTTCAACCTCCTAATTTTTTATCCTCTCATCATTAATTTCCAATATATTCACTCACTAGTAATAATCCTCTATTATTTACATTCTTTTTAAGTAAGGCACAAAAAAAGGTTAAAATTTTGTTCTATTCTTTTTAAGTAAGGCATACAATAAGGTTAAATTTTTGTGAGAAATATGTAGATAATGATA